TTCCTGGAGCTCACTTGGTAGCCCAGGCTGGCCTCGAACTCACAGAGATCCGCCTGGCTCTGCCTCCCGAGTGCTGGGATTAAAGGCGTGCGCCACCACGCCCGGCGCTATTATGCCTATTCTTAACAGCAGAAAGAACAAATAAATCTGATTGGTTGGATGGAAAGATTTATATTCTGTGTCATTGACAATGATGGAACACACAAGGAAAGATCCCGTTCTGTGACTCCTGACTGGTGAAAAATGTAACTGTAATTTGGCACAGGTGTTTATGGTTTTGTGCTTATAGACCTCACTACTGCCCCTGCTCTGGGCTGCCAGGAGAAACAAGGCTCCTGAGTCCTTGTCCTGCAGTGACCCTGCTCATGTGGTGATTTATTAAAGACTTTTGGACCCATAAATGTTGTGTCTCTCCTTCCTATAACACACAATGGACAGGGTTTAACATCCTATTTCTTTTGGTTTTTGATTTTTTGAGACAGGGTTTCTCTGTGTTAACAGTTCTAGCTGTCCTGGAACTTGTAGACCAGGCTGGTCTCGAAAAAAGGAGATTTCTTTCATTTCATTTTTAAGATTTATCTTTATCTTTTTTGTTGTTGTTGTTTTGTTTTTCGAGACAGGGTTTCTTTGTGTAACCTTGGTTATCTTGGAACTAGCTTTGTAGAATGGGCTACCCTAGAACTCACAGAGATCCAGCTACCTCTTCCTCCCGAGTTCAAGGATTAAAGGCATGCACCATCACCTCCAGACCTTCTACATCTTTTTTTACAAACCTACAGTTTAAAAGAGTCATTTTATTTTTACTTATGAATATGTCTGTGTGATTGTATGCTATATATGTGTATGGTCTGTAGAGGCCAGAGAGGTGCATGGTAACCCCAGAGAAGGTTATGAGACACTTCACCTGATTTGAGTCCTAGAATTGAACTTGGGTTCTCTGAAAGACCAACAAATGCTCTTAACCACTAAACCATCCCTCCAGCTCTTAATTTTTAAAACAGTTTTTTGGTAAAGATGGGTCAGGAGGTACAGGAACTTGTCACCAGGCCTGATGGAGACCCAGTGCTGTGGAATAATCCTTCTATACACTGTGAAAATGTGTTGCTCTCGTTGTTAATAAAAAGGTGATTGGATTTTTGGGGCAGAGACAAAGCTAGGAAGAAGGGCAGAGTCAGAAGAGTTGTGAGCCAGAGAGAGAGGAAGCAGGACATGTAGATGAGATAAAAGCCATGAGCCGGGGTTGGGGATTTAGCTCAGTGGTAGAGCGCTTGCCTAGTAAGCGTAAGGCCCTGGGTTTGGTCCTCAGCTCTGGGGAAAAAAAAAAAAAAAGCCACGAGCCTTGGGGCAGCACACAGATTAATAGAAATGTGTTAAGTTGTAAGAGCTAGTTAGTAATAAGCCTGAGCTATTGGCTGAGTATTTACAATTAATATTAAGACTCTGAGTGACTATTTGGAAGCAGCTGCTGGGACAAGAAAACTCCACCTACAAATGGCGCCCAAATGTCTGGCAATGTAGATCCACATAAAACTAAGAAAGCTATTAAAAAAGGGGGGGGGGAGGTCCAAACACACAAAAATGGAGCCAAACTCGGTTTCTTGGTAACTGCCTTTTTTGGGTAGGCTGTTTGCGGGTGGCAAACAGAGATACAGTTTCCTTGGCTTGGTGCTAGCAGCAAACATGGACATGGCTCTTTCAAGAGGCTCTGCTATGGAACACTTAAATGGGGTTCATGAGCAGCAGGCACGCGCTACTTGGTGGCAGCATGGACCCTACAACTTCCCAGAGCTGGGGTGGTAAGCATAGCTCCCACCAGTACCTATACCATGACACTAAGCTCTCAGGCAATGGGGGAAAGGGGCAGCCGCCAATGCCGTGCACTAAGCTGAACCAAGCCCGCGACTAATACAGCAGTTTAAGATTCGTCTCATGTGATCAAAAAACAATACAGATGCTCACTAAAGACAGATTCAGATGGGAAAAAAACCTCTAAACGGGTTACAGTGTGTTTAAAAATATATATAGGCTTGGTAGAGACAGTCACAGATTTAAAAATAGTTTAAAAATAATGAAGTCCTTAAAAAAGGAATAGAGTAAAAAAAATATATAATAAGCCACGAAAAGATGGAAACTACAGAGTCTGTATTCTGTATGTTATTGTGTTGTCTTTAGATTTTCAGATTGCTAATAAAGAAACAACAGCTGCAGCCAGGCGGTGGTGGCTCACGCCTTTAATCCCAGCACTGGATCTCTGTGAGTTCAAGGCCAGCCTGATCTCCAAATCGAGTTCCAGGAAAGGTGCAAAGCTACACAGAGAAACCCTGTCTCAAAAAAAAAAAAAAAAAAAAAAAAAAAGCCAAAACAACAACAACAACAAAAAAAAACAGCTGCTAAAACACACTGGATTATGAGAACTGCTAGATTAAACCAATGTCTATATTTTAAAAATGTCTTGACTTTAAGAGGGAAGTCAGAAGATATGCTACCTTGGAGAAGAGGTTATGCTTTTATTTCCACAGGAGATGAGGGGCCGTGGATTTGTTCCAGGCTGATATAGATCAGGTTTAATAGGGGAAGACCCCCTGAAAATCCTGACTACAAATATAAAGACATAAATTTAGGGCTGGGCAGTGGTGGTACACGCCTTTAATCCCAGCACTCAGGAGGCAGAGGCAGGCTGACTATGTACAATGCACACTCTATACTTGTATTAATACAGATATGTATGTTATCTTTAAAAGTTTATGCATTTTCAGAGTAAGGGGACCAGACACCAATAAAAATGGATGGCCCAGGTGATCCAGCATCCAGAACAGCTTCAAGGTTGTTGACTGAGATGATCCAGCCTCACAGAATACTCTGGCCAAGACTTAACAATTATCCTGATTTTTTCAAGATTCCCTCAAAGATGCCAGCACCCCCTGACAACAAGAAGCAGTCTAGAAGAACAACACTTACATTTCCAAAAGATGGGTTATGGATGTTCATTTAAGGGGGTTTGGTTACAAATTGTTATTGGTCATGGTATTAAAAAAAAAAAAAAAAAGCTAAACAAAAGAGTTAAATTCAAAGATCTTTTTCTAAAGGAAAAAATAAAGACTATGGAAATGATGAGATAAGAGTAGATTACTGAATCTACTTTAATAAAAAAAACAATAAATTTTCAAAATATTTTACATCGGTACAGATTTTGGGTTATTGATACAAATTTAAAATTAATTTTGTTATACTGTATGTACGTTTCTACTCTTGTTTAGGGTATTATGTTTATGCAGCTATTTTAAAAATGTATAATTAAGAAATACAGGTCAATAGTCATCTATAATAGTCAAACTTATAGTCATGTTAGGTATGTTTTCAAGGTCATACAGAGACATATTTCAGATAGGTAGGCAATCTTCAAACACTTTAAAGACCTACAGAATATGGCATTTAAAATGCTTTAATAACATAAGACTTTTATTGACAGTGAGACACATCTCTCTGATCAGTACCAATTTACTTCAGAGAAGATGATGGGCAGTGAAGACCCTCCTTATGAAGTTTATTTCATTTATGGCAAAAGCTAGCCATTTGGGCAAAAACTGCCCTTGCCTCAATTGCTGACAGTGTAACTATCCAAACTGAACCAACAGGATGAAAAAAAAGGGACTACCAAACTTTGCCCAGACAAGGTAGAATTCTCCTTCCAAAACTCCCTGCTTCTCAGAAATGTCTGTCAAGATGGATGCCCCAAACATTACAGAAGAACTTTGGGTGACTGTCCAGGCAGCCAGATGTCCCTGTTGTTAGGTAACATTTCACCTTTCTGGGGTCTTTGGTGGAGTTGAAGAATAGATAGTCATAGCTAAAAGTTTTCCCTAGTTATGATAAAAGGTAAATTAGGTATAAAACTTTAGGTTCACAAAGATAAGTAACAGAGTATTTTCTCTAAATTTGCCAAATACAAATGGACTGGATATTGTAACTGTGATTCTTATTTGATAAATGTTTTTGTAGTATGTAATTTTACCATGTTAAAATTAAAACCTTCTAAGCTGATTAACCAATAGCTAGGTAGGATTTTGAGGGCAGAGAGAATGCTGGGAAGAAGGGCAGAGTCAGAGGAGTCACAAGCCAGATGGAGAGAAAGCAGGCCATGCAGGAGAGGTAAAATTCATGAGGAGGCACCACATAGATTAGTTAACATTGTAAGAGCTCGTTAGTAAGCCTGAGCTACTGGCTGAGCATTTATAATTAATATTAAGTCTCTGTGTGGTTATTTGGAAGCAGCTGCTGGGATAGGAAAACTCTGCTTACAACCCAGGGTCAGTTCCCAGCGCCTATACTATGACACATAACAGTTCCAGAGGATTCAATGCCCTCTTCTGGCATCCTATGACACCAGGCACACATTCAGTGCACTTACATACATGCAGGCAAATCATTCAAACTTAAAGAATTGTTGGTCAATAAAAACAAAACTCAAAGGCATACAGTAGATGATCAATGGATAAATGGCAGTTATGTTCACTTACTTTTGAATATCTCCAAAGTTTTTTTGTTTGTTTGTATTTTTCTTTTGTGACTTGTTTGTGACTGCATCTGACTTTCTGGAACTCGAAGGAGAAGCCAAGGTATTTTTCTCGTAGTTATTGTTCTTCGGTCACAAGAAAAACAAAGACATTATTAAAGAGAACTTTATATAAAAAATTAAAAAAAAAAAAGCTTTGAATTCTATGAACTCAAAATTCAGAAACTGAATTCTTTAAGTTCTTTGAAAAATACTAAGCATGTACATACTTCATTCTCATTACCTAGACTTTATTTTGCAATAGGCATCCACAAAGCATGTACATTATATTACAGATCATAAGACATGATTTAAAGTTCACGGGCAGCAAGATGGTTCAGTGGCTAAGGTGCTCATGCTAAGTTTGACAGCCTGAATTCCATCTCAGGACCCATATGAGAAACAACCAAGTGTCACAAGTTGTCCACTGACCTCCACACAAGATGCTGTGGTACATGTGTATACACACACATATACACTCATCAAATGCATAAATGCAATAAAAATAAATGTACAGGAGAATTTGTTTGTGTTATATGCAAAGCCATGCCATTTTATGTAACACTTGACTACCTTCAGATTTTTATATATATGGAAGATCCCAAAACTAATTTATACACCAAAGGATGCCTATATAAACAAAATTAAGCTCTTTCAAGTTTGCCTAAATTAAATACATTACTATATACATCTAATTATACTATATATTTGTATATATAAAATGAAGCATAACACACACACACACACACACACACACACACACACACACACACACACAAATACACTCCTTCAAAGAAATAACGAATCTCCTAGCTGATAATTTCATCCTTTTGTTTTTTAAAAAAGATTTACTTATTTTACCAGCACACATGGATGTCCCAGAAGAGGAACTGTAGTTATAGAGGATTGTAAGCTGCACCATGTAGGTGCTAGGAATCAAATCTGGGTTCTCGGCAAGTATAGAAAGTACTTTTGACCACTGAACCATCTCACCAGCTCCTGACCGTCTCATGCAATTGCAGCTACCTTCTTCTAGCGAGGAAAGTACTTAAAAGTACAAAGTATATCTGGAGCAAAAGTTCCTACACAGAAATAAGCCATAATTGTTCACCATCTCCAAAATTTACATTAAACCAAAGATTACCCTAAAATTTCAGTAAATCTACTTGGACCTTATGTGACTGAAAGTCAGATACAGGTGACTCCAAACTCCCCTCTTCCGATGTTTCCATCTTGATTCCACTCACTATTCACTTATTTTACTGGACAACCTCTTCCTTTCCTCTCATCTCTCTCTACTGTTTGTAGACAGTGTTCCAACTATATAGCTCAGGCTGGCCTTGAAACTGCAGTGACCCTTTTGCCCCAGCCTCCCAAAGTACAAGGTGTAACTCTCAGCTGGTTAATTTTTTTTTAATTTCTAGACTGTGTATCTTTCCAAAATTTCTACACAAACTGAGAAAAGGATATACAACAGAAGGGGGGTAATATCACAGAGCTTAAGATTATATTATTAATGGTAAGATTCATAAAAAAAATTCTAGGTATACTTCATTTGTTGAAATATATTCTCAGATGTGTTTTTCAAAAGTAGGGGAGTTAATTCTCAGAGGCTCTGTATCCTCAATATTTCAGACACCCTAGATCTCACTGGAGATAGTACTCACTAATGCTCATCCCCAGAGTCCAAGTCAGTTTGGTTTAGAGTAGGTATGAGAATTTGCACTTTATTTTTAAAACGTTTTAAATTCACCGGGCGGCGGCGCATACCTTTAATCCCAGCACTTGGGAGGCAGAGGCAGGCGGATCTCTGTGAGTTCTAGGCCAGCCTCAGCTACAAAGCGAGTTCTAGGAAAAGCGCAAAATTGCACAGAGAAACCTTGTCTCGAAAAACAAAAACAAAAAAACAAAACAAAAATTATTTTATTGATTTCTTCATGGGTGTTTTGTCTATGTGTATAACTGTGCACAACATGTATGTAAGCTACTGGGGATCAAACCCAGGTCCCTCTAAAAGAGCAGCCAGTGCTGTTAATACTGAAACATCACTCTAGACCCTGAGAGTTTGTACTTTAAAAGAAGCCCAAGTGGGCTCAAGGTATGTAGCTCAGTGCTATAGCTTGTGCTAAGGCTTTGGCTTCAATCTACCAGGCTCTTTTAAGCCACCAGGTTCCAGAAACCTTAGGTTTTAGTGTATGTTTTCCCATCTTGCCTTTCATTGTTCTTTATGAACAATAATTTAACAGTAAGATAAGGAAATCCAGGTTCAATATATTTAAGAATTGGGCTAGGAAGTCATGCACTTGCCACCACGTCTGGAGACCTGAGTTTGATCCCCAGAACCCATATAGAAGGAGAGGACCAACTCCTGCAAGCTGTCCTTTGACTGTGACTCATGTAGCGCCCACACACTAAATAAATAAACTAAATGTTAAAATAAGACAGGATCAGGATGAAGGTACAGCTTACCTGTTTAGCATATCCAAGGTACAGGATTTGATCTGTACCATTGATAAGAATGTCCCCAGCTACAGGAAATAAGTAACAATACACAAAAATGTTTCATTCATAAAAGTTTGTTGGGCTAGGAGTGGTGGCGCACGCCTTTAATCCCAGCACTTGGGAGGCAGAGCCTCCCTGTGAGTTCAAGGCCAGCCTGGTCTACAGCACGAGATCCAGGACAGGCACCAAAACCACACAGAGAAACCCTGTCTCGAAAAACAAAACAAAACAAAAACAATAAGTAAATAAATAAGCAAATAAATAAATAAAGTAGTTTTCCCCCGTTAAGTAGAACAAAGATATCCTAACACCCCTGTAACTGTTGTGACGCCTTCTTCAGGAAAGCCAAAGCGAAGGGGCATCTCCCAAAACTTGCAAACTTACAATACTGATGCTGAGCCTCCGTGCCAGCTCCTCATCGCCTTTCAGCTGCTCTTCCATCTCGCTTCTCCTCTTTTCTGTCTGCCTTTTCTCCTCCTCCTCCTCTTCTGCCAACAATCTCTGTATGTATTCCTCACTGGCTTTGTTTTCTTCTTCTTTGCTGGCTTGTCGTTCAGCCTCCACCTTAAAAACAATAAAGGACATCCTTTTCTGAAATTTTTAATATACTCATATTTCACAATAATTGTAAAAAAAATGGAAGTGAAAAGTGGCAAGAATTTAACTCCATGAAATTCAAATCTCCACAGGGAAACTTGCGTACAGCAGTTCAAGGTCCTACCTCAGGAAGCCCACCCCAGTCAGCCCAACAAAGGTTTGGTTGAAGACTCCAACCTCGTGCCCTCCGTCCTTACCAGTTTCCACCGCAGTACGACACAGACACGCAATGCTTCCTCGGTTCACGGAAAGCCATGTGCTGACTAAGGTAGACCTAGCTGCCTCTGCTGCTGCTCTCTTTAGCAGAGCACACAGATTGACTAAGGAAAAGAGAAAGAACTCCTGAGTAGAAGGGGAGCCAAAGGAGGAATGCCCTAGACCTAGCTGCTGCTGCCTCTTTTGTTTTTTAAAGACAGAGTCTCACTCTGTAGACCTGGCTGTCCTGGAACTCACTCTGTAGACCAGGCTGGCCTTAAACTCACAGAGATCTGCCTGCCTCTACCTCCTGAGTGCTGGACTAAATACATTCACTACCATGCCTGGCATTTGTTTGTTTAATTTATAAATATTATTTGTATGTGAAAACAGGATCATTGGGGCTTGCTGGCTTCCAGACTAGCTGATTAGGAAAAAAAAGCAAGTCCCAAGTTCAGGAGACATTTTGCCTAAAAGGAATAGGTGGAGAATGACAGAGGACACTCAACTCCCTCTGTGCACACACACTATCTTTATAACTAACACATAGAACCTTGACTTTCGGTGGCTGTGAAGATGGTTCAGTGTGGTAAACTGCGTGCTACCAAGCGTAAGGAACTGAGCTTGGATTCCCAGCAGCACATAAAAGGTCAGTGTGTTAGCCGGGCGGTGGTGGCG